CCCCCCGGGACCCCCGCGTGGCTCACCCCCAGCACCCCCCGGGACCCCCGCGTGGCTCACCCCCAGCACCCCCCGGGACCCCCGCGTGGCTCACCCCCAGCACGCCAAACCGCTCGCACATGGTCCACCCACAGAGGAAATCGATTTCGAAGTTGTGATTGAGGATGATGACCACGTGCTCCTTGCCGAAGCGGTCCACGGTGGCCTGGTCGGTGAAGAGCGTGCACTCCGTGCCGGACCACCATTCCAGAAGCATGACCAGCTCTGTGGACACACAGGGGCAGCGTGAGCCGGCAGGCGGCTGCACTCAACCCAAGCCCCCCCGACCGTGGGCAGGCCCCCTGCCACGCCTGGGCTCCGGGGGCTTTCACAGGGTGTTCGCCGGAGTGGATTTCCTGCCAGAAACAAGTTTTGATGGTTTATGTTTCATAAATTAAGTTTTCCAAAATTATGATGACCTTTTCTAAACAAGTCAGGTAAGGGCACCTGAGGGGTTCAGTCGGTTGAACGTCCGACTTCGGCTCAGATCATGATCTCACGGTTTGTGGGTTCGAGCCCCGCATTGGCTCCCTGCTGACAGCTCAGAGCCTGGAGCCTGCTTCTGAGTATGTCTCTCCCTCTCTCTCTGCCCCTTCCTTGCTCGCCCTCTCTCTCTCAAAAGTAAGTAAACATTTAAAAAAATTAAACAAAAGTCAGGCGAAGAAAAACTGGAAAGCAGAAGTAGAGGAAAACCGTACTTTTAGATGGACACCTTTATGTCCAGTCGCGAGTCCCACATGCACTGTGGCTTGAGGGGCTGTCACATTTCATCCGTGGAATGGGAGGCGAGCTGGTGGGCGTGCGCACACAGCCAGCCACGGGGCCGCCGTGGTCGGCAGCGTGGCTGCGCTGAGCCACCACCAGCTGGCACAGGCCCACCCACCATGGCCTGGCGTCCCGAGCAAGGTGACCTCAGACCAGGGGGCACGACTTGCAGGCTCAGGGCGCCGCGGGGCATCCCCGTTCTCTTTTGTCTGACACCAGCCCGTCCATCTTCTGAGGGGACCGGCCCCTGAGGATGGAGGGCAGGGCCGGAGAGTGGGCTCTAAGCCTGACTTCCTGGGCCTCAGTTTCCCCACTTACAGAACAGAGAAAACGGTAGCTTCCTCACAGGGGCCTCTGGAGGACTCGACGGGCTGCAGCTTAACCCCCGAGAGCCAGGAGACCGAGGCTGGTTTCTCCTGATGGGCAGCGTCCCCATCAGCCCGGCCGACGAGGGGGCTTCCCAGCTCCACCCCCAGCATGCGATCATGTGGCCTCTGGGGTCTCACCTTCCTCCATCAGGTGGGAGCCGGATGAAGAGTCTGCCCCTCAGAGGACACCTGGGCTCACCAGCCATCGTCCCTTCTACCCAAGGCAGGGTCGACAGAAAAGGCCACCTGTCCGAGGCCGACCCAGCACCCACAAACCTGCCGGCCACGGCCACGCCTGTCCCACCCCGGAGAGACGCCCGCACCAGGTGACCGGCCTTGCTCCTCCCTCTCTCCGGCTCACTGTCATTTAACCGATGGCCGCAGCCCGGCAGGGCCTGGGCAAACCTCCAGGTGTGAGCTGGTCCACGAGAGACAGTGGCTGAGACGGAGGCTCCTGCGGCGATCGGGGGGCACGGGGAGGCGGCTCCCCGCTGCTCCAGCGAGAACACTGCCCCTCACAGCCCTCAGCGCACAAGCCGGCGTCGGCGCGCGTGGGCACGGGGGTGGCCGCGGCCGTCCATGCCCCTGTGGTGCTGCCGACGTCGGTCTCTCACCTGAGCGGGAACGGGCAGGACTTCCCCTGTGACACGTTTACTTCCCGCAGCGCGAGGTCCGGCACGTTCCTGCGTGTGGCCACACGTGGGAGGAGCTCTTCTCTGTGAACACGGAGCAGTTTTCCTCTGTCCGTATGGACCACGTTTGCTCCGTCCGTTCACCCATCGACGGACGTGTGAGGCGTCCCCGCTGCTGACTACCGCCATCGGCCCGCTGGGGCCACGGCAGCCTGAGCAGCGCTTCCTCGTCACTAGTTTGATGCCTCAACCTCCAGACTTAGAAACGCCAGGGGCAGCGAGGGCACGCCAGCTGTGAGGGTCCGCCCCGTGGTCAGCGGCCCACGAATGCCGCTCTCCCAGCCACCGCGGCGTGCCACAGAGGCGGCCAGAAGCCACAGACGGAGGAGGGAGAGGCCACGGGGAGGGAGAGACGGCGCACGTCTCAGACCAACACCAGACACTGAGTTTTCTAAAAAGGATCTTTTCGAAAACCGCACCCTTATGAGGCGTGACGACACGTGCCTCACCCCTGCTGGCACTCACCACCCATCTACATGCCCCGTGGCCACGACCGCCTTCCAGAAAAGGCCTGCTCAGCCAGCGCTGGGATCCGTGGCACAGGCCCTGCGTGCGGAGTGCCGACGGCTCTACCACAGGGCCACTGATGGAGGCCGCTCTCTCCCGCCGGCTGTCGGTGCGCGGGGGTCCCTGCTGGTGGTTCCCGGCCTCGCGGGGGAGCGTCCGGGACAGCTGTTTTGCCGGCTGGCCCCTGCGCCATCGCTAATCTTTCCGCGGTTCCCTCCGTTCAGGTGCGTGCTCGTCGGGACGCAGCGAGCGAGTGTTCTCTGCGGACTCCAGCCGCTCGCGGACCATCGCGGCGCGCTCCCTGCATTCGCTTTGCTGCGAGGCCGGTGATTTTCCCCTTTGCAGCCAGGAAGCTTCGGCCTTGGCCGGGTTGGCCGAGAGCAGGCCGCGTGGCCCCACGCGTGTGCCGCGAAGCTCTGTGGACCGCACGGAGTCGCACGGGCACGGGGTGGTCAGCGGCAGGGGCCAGGCCGGGCGGGCGGGGGCTGCACCACACGTCCCGGTGAACTGAAGGCAGGCTCGGGGGCTGGGCCTGCTTACGAGCCCCGCGCTCACCGTGTGCCACCGCGTGTGGGGCAGCCTTCCCCCGGCCCGAACGTGAGAGGCACTCGCTCCTGTATTCCCGGGTAACGTGGGGAACACCCCCAAATTCCGCAGGCGCCCCGGTGGCAGAAGGCCGGGCTCCTTCCTCCCCGCGCCGGGGGCTTGTGTTAGCTGGCCTCCCGCCTCCAGCGCACCGACTGGGTCTCACGCTATCCTTGGCTTTGTCTGTTTTACAAAAATGGATTTGTCTTTGCTTGTCTGATCCGTCTTCTCGTTCTGAGGTTGGTCCGAGGCCGCTTTCCCACCCGGCCCTCCCCTAGTGAAGACCGACCTGAGACAGCTGCTCTCTTCCTGGCAAATACGAGAATGGAGGCTGGCGGAGGGGGGGGGAAGGGACCGAATGCTGCCCCCCCCACCCCCACCCAGACCCTTGCTCTGCCTGTTTCAGCCTCACAACCGGGCATCATTCCGGATTGTTCCGATGTACCCACTTACCGTTTGCTCTGACCGCCTTCTTTCTTGCAGCTCAATCCTGCCTTTCGGTCAGTGTCATTCTCACCAAAGAACATGCGTCAAACGGAACCTCAGGTGCTTGTCCTCCGGCTGTTCCTGCTGCGTGCACGTGTGGGGGGCTGGGCCCGGGCGGGGGTACTGCCTCAGGGTCAAGGCCTCCCCGCCTCTGGGCGCGTCCCTCCAGCCTGGCCGGCGCTCCGGCTCCTGTCTGGGCATTTCTGCAGCCCGCCCTCTGCCCGCGTGGGCTGTGCCTTCCCTGGGGCGCGGCTGAGCGTGGCTTCGGTTTATTTCCCTGCTGGGCCCGCGCTGTCCGCTAGAGCCACAGGACCGCGTCTCCGTCCATTCGGGGCACCCCAGCGTCACCTCCCCCAGCGCCGCCTCCCCCCTTCCTCCTCCTCGCTCCCTCGCGGGCTCCGCCGCACACGCGCCCCCCGCCCGCTGGTCTCTCGTGAGCAGGTCCAACCTGACGGCACGGGCGCCCACGCAGTCTTCACTTTAAAAAACACAATTAAGGTTTTCACGTACAGACGTTCTGTTTGATTCTCTGTCAAACCCGTCACTGTTTGTCCGTCTTCTGTCTTGACCCGTGAGCTTCTTCAGGCCTAACTAGGAGCTACTGACCCGGGGGCGCTGCTCACGGGCTCCCCGCCGTCCGGCTCCGGGTCTGGATCCAGTGACCCCCAACCCCACCCGCAGCAGGCCCAGCCGGGGCCCCCGGAAGGCAACCGCGAGACTGAGGGGAGCGCCCCACTTTCCGCTGGGGGGGCAGGGAGGGTCCGGCGCTCGGGGCTGAGCTGTTCGGTGGTGCTTCAGCCCGACAATCCCACTGCAGGCGGAGCCTACGGATTTGCTCTTGTTCATCAGTATTTGCCCTTTTGCTGCGAGTTCGTGTCACGTACTTACACTCCTGAACGACTCACTGTATTTTTCATGTCATAGGATTTCTAATTCTCTTATCTAAAATGGCCTCTTATCTAAAAAAGAATCCAAACCCTGGGCACCGGCGAGCGAAAGCCACAGGCCAGCTTGCGGCCTCCGCGGGGCAGCGGGAGGTCACGGCCTCCTCCGCGGGGCTCCCTTCTCTGCCCGGGAACTGGGAGGCTCACGGAGGCTCACATTCCCCGCACGACATGCGGTGGCTATTGCTCTCTCTTTCACGGACAAGAAATGTGGTCTCAATGCTAAAAAACGTAAGCAGCACAAAGTCAGACACAAAAATAAATAAACGTTGAGCCATAAAAAAGAAAAAACAAAATAGCAAATACGGAAAAGTAAAACATAAAAAGGAAAAAGTAGAAGGCCCTCTGCCCCTCACTTCCCGGATACTAGTTTCCCGTTGACCCCTCGAGACCCTCTGGGCACAAACGGCCCTACACACGCGCACACACCTCACGCACACGGTCCTTACAAACACAGTAGCGTGCTATGTACCCTGTGGTGTCCCTTCCCTTTTCATTTAAAAGTGTGTTTGAAGCCGCACTGGGGAGGCTCAGTAGGTTGAGTGGCCGACGCTTGGTTTCAGCTCAGATCATGATCTCGTGATTCATGAGTTCAAGCCCCATGTCAGGCTCTGTGCTGACAGTGTGGAGCCTGCTTGCGATTCTGTCTCTCCCCCCCTCTCCCCACCCCTCCCCTTGTGCATGCTGGTGCGCTCTCTCTCTCTTTCTCTCTCTCTCTCTCTCTTTCCCTCTCTCAGAATGAATGAGTAGACCTTAGGGAAAAAAGGGTACTTTGGAGACGGTTCTCTGTCCAGTGGGGAGACTGCCCTGGTTCGGAAGGGCTGCGGGAGTGACCTGTGCAGACTCCCCGCCATTGGCCTCCACTAATGGGCACTTTGCTGCGGTTTTGTGCTAATATAAAAACGATAAAGTGAGAATATCTGTACGGATATGCACTTCTGCAGATGTCTCTCTAGGTACATTCTTCATTTGTGAATTCACGGTCAAAACTTGCAGCTGTTTAAGTAGTGGACGGCCCCTGGCCCGTGTATGCCCCCCCACCCTGTCCCCGTGAGGGCGTTCACCAGTTAACCGCGGGCTTCACGAAGCCTTGGAGTCTGTGACAGGTGACGACGGACTCCATACATGCAGACGCACACACGTCCACAGGTGCGTGCAGGCCCCAGACACACACGTGCAAACACGTTATTTCATCAAAACGCAGGCAGGCGTCCTTATCCTTCACAGATAGACGCTCAAATATGTACCAGACAGAGGACAGGCCACCTGAGGGTGGCCCCGGTGATGAGCTGGCCACGCACGTGTGAGGCGACCCGGCCCGTGTGCCGGCGGGGACAGGGCTGGGCGGTGCTGAGCTGAGTTATGATTGTTCTCAAATACCCCAAATCCTACGTTAACCCCAGGAGCCGGCCATCTCCATGGGTCACATGCTGCGACATCACTTGGTTCGACCAAACAGAGGCCTGAGTGAGCATCTCTCTGCACGTGTCCTGGCCAGGAGCCAGCCCTGGGCGCTCCCGAGTGCCCCCCAGTCCCCGGTCCAGGGGTCACGAGCCAGGCCACCGCCTCCTGGTCACGTCACCCCCGGGACCCCGCCCATTAGGGAGTGGGGACCGGCCCGTTTGGGGTTCCTCTGGCAGAAAGGAGCGCCCCCCCCCCACAAGCCGGGCGGCGCGGGCGCACTCACGGCTCCACAGGGAGTAGGCGAGGCGGCAGTTGAGCCTGCGGTACAGCTGTTTGCTCAGGGGCCACAGGACCAGCGTGCACAGCTGGATGGAGTTGATGAGGAGCCCGCTGACCACGAACACGAACCCGATGAGGAGGTGCACCACGAACTGGGTCTTCAGGTAGGCCAGCGCACCCATGGTCGCCGCTCAGTAGCGAGTGCAGGGCCCGTCAGCGAGAACAGCCGTCCTGGAAAGGACAGGGGGCGGCGGTCAGGAAGGTGCGGGGGCCCAGGGCCGCAGGCCCGGGAGACACCCACGGTGCCCATGGCAGAGCCCCGACCTGGGGCCCGACCCTGCGCCCCCCCAGCAGCCCACCCACACCACACCCCGAGAGCCCTCCTTCTAGGAGTGACACATGGGGAGACCCGATGAACTGACACACAGGTCACTCCTACGTCACACACACTCATACCGGGTGTATACACATACACACACCACACGTACACACCACACGTGCACACACACATGTACACACACCACACGTGCACAAACACCACACATGCACACACCACATGTGCACACACACATCATATATACTACACACACAACACACATACACACTTACATGCTACATGCATCACACCACACATACACACACACACACATATGCACAAGCCACCCCCCACCCCGTGCATACGAGAAACGAAGAAAAGACTAGAACTAACGTCCCCAAGTATGACCAGCGATTCCCTCTAGGAAAAGGCATTACGGATAGTTTTTATTTTAGACTTTCTTACCATCATTTACAAGATCAAACTGCACATGAAATTTCCATAAAAACAGACCCACGACCCCTTGACTGATGCCTCTTAATCCCCAAACAGCGGGCACTTTCTAAGCTCAAAGCCTTCATTTCAGCCCCGACACAAAAGCGGTGACTCACCCAGGAACCTGACCACTTCCTGTCCCCTTTCCACACCCATTTCTTACTTTCAACGGCAAAGCCAGCAGCTCACATTTCTTGGTTGAACTTGTCCCGTGAGCTGCCCCGTGACCCCCCCTCATGTGCAGAGAACCGAGCAGGAAGCCGTGACCCCAACTCAGGGCCGCCCTCGGCCGGCGCACCTGCAGACCCGCTCCGTGGGAAAGGCGCCCACGCGCTCTCCGGGGCCGGGCAGGGGGCTGGCCCCGAGAGGGACACCGGCCCCCCCACTCTCAGGGCAGGCCCGGCTCCACCCCACAGGCTGAGCACACCTGGGGCAACGGCAGCCGCCCCCCCAGAGAATAAACCAGCTGGGCCACGAACACAGTGCTGTGGCCCCAAGGCTGAGTCACGAAAGCACGACTTTGACAGCGGCTCCTGGTCCTGGCACAGCAGGCTCTGGGGGGCACCAGCCGCCACACCAGGAGGCTCTGGACGCGAAAGCGGACCATCAGGCCCCGGTCAGGCCTTCAGGTGCCCGTGACCCCGCGAGCAATCCTGACCCCCTCGGCCCATTGTGTCTGAGGGGCCGACCCCGAGAGGCGTCTCATCTCGGCTACGGCCATAGCGCTACAGGGCGCCCGTGTGCACCGTAGGGGCCCGCCGTCCAGGAACTCTGGGGAAGCCCTGGGATTACCGTCCACGGCAATGGGGAGTGCTCACTGAGCTTTTCTAGAAGATGCTAACCTGTGCCCATCTGTACCGAAAGCACCCGAGTCCCCCAGACCTTCTGTGGACCAGACCTGGTTTGAGACCAACCTAGGGCGTAGCGCTATCGCACAGCTGCGTGACAGCCATGGGGTTATATCAGTTCCGGTCAGGTAGGTTCTCTGAATCTAAACTTCCACGTTACAGATGAGGAAACTGAGGACCAGAGGGGCTCAGATGGCTTCAAGACATGCAGCTCTCAGGACGGGGGAGGCCAGAGCCCAGCCCTCAGCCATAAAGCTGCTCCCCGATTTGCGCAGCCAACGCAGGAAGACGAGGAGAGGCCCTTCACCCGCCCCGTCAGCCTGACCACAGGACACCTGCGTGAGCCCCCAGTGCCCGGAGCTGAGTGGGGCGGCCACTGGGGCCCGTGGCAGACAGTGGCCCCGGCCCGTTCACGCGGCCCCTCACAAATGCCCAGATGCTGTCAGCCACACAGCAAGGAGACCTGGGCCTGTCTCTAAGCGCCTTCGCTAGATAACAGGTCTAGACTGTTCCAGAAGCCTACATCTGCACAACTTGACCCTGACTGTGAGGGGGCTGCCTCCTGAGTTTGTGCCCCTCCTCAAAGTGGGGGTGCGGGACGGAGCCAGCCCTCAGGGCTGGAAGGCAAGGATGGGGGCCTGTGGGCAGCTGAGCGGCCTCACATGGAACTCAGGTGCCGCCGGCTACCTCGGCCACCGACCCAGGTGTCTGGGAAGCCAGCCAGCCTTCCCTCAGTGCGGCAGGAAGGACGGGGTGCCCAAACCAGACCCTCCTCCTGGCTCTGGCGCCCGCCCCCTCAGGAGCGGGACCCTCGGTGGGTCTGACACCCCGTCCGTCAGGTGCTTTCGCTGCCGCAAGCCCATGGTCCCCACGGCCGAGCTGTCTGTGGCTCAGGGCCACGAGGGGAAGGGAGGGAGCACCTTGCACCACCTCATCACCGTCCCGTGAGGCCCCCGGCCACTCTCAGACCGCATCGGGGCACCTCCTGTTAGGGGTGAATGGTGTCCCCCAAAAGATACACTGGGGTCCTAACCGCCAGCACCTCAGAATGTGGCTGTATCTTAAGAGGCGATCCTGTTAAATGAGGTCTGGGGTGGGTTGTAAAGCAGCCTGCCTGGTGTCCTCACAGGGAGAGATTCGGACACGGCCTCCAGCCCAGGGAGACCATGTGAGGACACGGGGGGGGGGGGGTCTATGAACAGATCCTCCCCCACGGCCCTCGCGAGAGCAGCCTGCCCACCCCCAGACAGCAGACATCCAGCTCCACACGCAACTGCGGAAGCTGCCTGGCGCGGGGCGCTGTGTCGTGGCCGCCCTGGCGGGGGGCGCCCCCCACAAGTGCTCAGGCCTCTTCCCGGAGCCCATCATGGGAGACGCGAGCAGCCCCCTCCCACGCCCTGCTGGGAAGCCCGTCCGGCCTCACTGCTCAGGGCCCCCTAACTCCCTCCCCGTCCCCTGTACCTGCCCCGGGGCCCCTCTTTTCCGCCACGGGTCCCTCTGCCCGTCTTGTTTGTGAACTAGCTGGTCAGGTGGTCTGACCTTCAGGTGCCCTCCCAGACGCCCCCGTCCCCGTCTGTGGAAACCCCCGTGTTTCCGGCCCAGCCTTTGCGCGGGAACAGAAACGGAGCTCGCAGGGCGGCACCGGCATCTCCGTCACACGGGCTCGTGTAGGGCGTGAGTGCGTGTGGACCCACGGCCACCTCATTTACGCTGGGACTCGGGGCCAGTCCTTCCTTCCATCCGCGTGCCTCACGCGCCTCCGCCCGGGCGTCCCTGTCACGCGGGGGGACGCGGCGCGGGGCCCGAGCTGGCACTGAGCGCCCCGTGGCCCTGCCTCCTGCTCTGGGCGCCTCTCCTGGCCACCTGCTGCCCTGCTCGGGGACCGGGCGCGGCCCTGGACCACCCGCTGGGACCGCTGCCCCTTCCGAGCCGCGGCCTCCGCTGGTCCTAAGTGTTCCCTCCGAGCCGACGGGACCGGCGATGGGACTTTCACTGCGCCCGAAGGGCACGCTTCTGATGTTCTCGATGCATCGCGAGATGGACAGAGCCGCTGGGTCTCACGAGGATTTCGGTCCTCGAATGCCAAGCCCACGAGGAAGCAGAACCTTCCCTCCTCCCTTCCGTCCCGACCCCCCCGTGAGGGCCAATGAGCGCGGCGCACACAGTCCACCAGTGGCACCGCGCCAAGGCCGTGCGGGCTGGCGGCGCGGGGGCGCCCCTGGGGTGGTTTGCGCGTGGACCGTTCTGCTGTTTCTGAGTCAGGAGACACTGAAGAACAAACGCCGTGGACGGACAGACTACGGAAAACGGGAGAGTCCACAGAGAACTCTCTTTCCAACATTCTTGAACTACCCTCAACTACGCGCGTGGCGACGTTAACTGCCCAAAACGCGGCCCGGAGCCGGGGCAACGCTGGTGCTCACCCGGCAGCCGGCCCAGCCCCACAGGCGTGAACGCACGCACGCGACTCACAGCGCGGCCGTCCAGCTCCTTGACTGGCCGCTGCTCCCTCTGGCTGTGAACGTGGCATGGACGAGAGTGACTGGGTGGCTTCCCGGCCCACAGCCCACGTGACGTGAGCGCGGGCGGCAGGGGCGCTGCAGGGTGGCATCCTGCTGACAATGACACCAGGGGCAGACGCCGGCCCACGGCCCGGAGGCACCTCCCCAGAGGGTGACCCCTTGCCCACCGATGACATCACGAGTGAGAGCACAATGGCCACTGTTGTCCCCGCTGCCCTGGCCACACGCTGAGGGGAAGCTGTGCCGTCGTCGCGCTATTAGACGGCGCCAGAAAGCAGCGAGGGGATTTTCACGAGAAAACGGTAGACTAGACGGACACAATCCTACTGAGTCTTTAAGGCACTACCTTGAGTTCTTGGGTAAATTCCCCACCTATCCTTCCGCAGGCCCAGAAGTAGGACGTGTTTCTTTGCCGGTCCAACCTATCAGCATCCACAGCCGCCAAGAAATCTAAAAACCTAGGAGGAAGAGGGTCATCACTGTTTGCAGGCGGCAGCGTTTGTGTCCTGTAGACCCAAGAGATCGGCTGTAAGCAAACCGCCACAATGAACAACTGATGCAGGGGTGAGTAAAGCTAACACGACGTGCAGAGACCAACGTTCTCAGGACCTTCAATAACTCGTCTAACTGAAGGGACGACGACAGCAGAGAAGGGTAGTTGTTTTGGGCCCAGCAGCTCCAGGACGCTGGCCTCAGGGGGTCATTTGAGACCATGGAGCAACCTTGCAAGCCGTGCGTTGAAGATGGGGAGCTCCAGGCCGCTGGCGGCTCTGCCCCCACCCACGCCATCTGGGGCCCCGGCCGCTGGCACCCCCAGGCCACTCCAGGGTCTCTCCAACAGCGGAAACAGAAACCCTGCAAGCCCAGGACCAGGCCCCCTCAGCAGGTGGGGAGCAGGCTCACAGTCCAAGCACTTATGGTGGGAAGACGACCCCGGGGTGCGCCACCCAGCAGGCACACCTCTGTGCGGACACAGGGACGCAGAAGGCACAGCAGAAGACCAGACCCCGCGTGTGTTTGCGATGAAAACGACGACCTGGCCGCAGAGGCCACACGGGGACATGGCAGAACATTCCGAAAGGCGACAAGCAGACCTAACAAATGGGAAGCCCTGCCCTCCCGGCACCCCTGCCCTCAGCAAGGCAGCCGTCAGGACGTGGGGTCCACTCCCTGGCGCTGGGGCCCCGCTGGCTTCGGGGCTCTGCACACGGTGGGGCACATGGTCCTTCCACCCCAGCCTCGGCCCCCCAGAGCCTTGCCGCTTCTCCTGTGCCCCGCGCCACCAGGCGGGGGTGGCCTGCAGGGCGGGGGGCCCACGGAGCACAGCAGACCCCCAGACCCAGGCGGGTGCCAGCCCACTGAGGCCACACACATGCCCCTGCGTGCTGGGTCCGGCCCAGACCGCCGACCTGCAGAGGGCGGGGGTGGCCACGGGTGCTGCCCTGTGAGGGGTCTGTTAGACGGTGACAGGTGACTGACACACAAACTGTTGTTTCTAAGTTACAAATGCACTTGAATCCTAATTAAAATGCCAGCGGGTCCCTCAGCTTCACCGGGAACTAGACAAGCAGACACTACAGCTCATGTGGAGAAACAAGCAAGAAAGAGGAGCCGAGAAAACCGTGCACAAGGTGTCACAAGTATGACGAAGCCTCGAGGGAGGCCCGGCCCGCGGACGGACAAGCAGCCCAGCGGACTGGACCGGGGCTGACGGCCTGCGGGGCCCTGGGCGCCCGAGCAGGTGTAGCCCCACGGCCCCCACTGGACACGCGGCGCGTGGCTACCAGCTTCGCAAACAGCACGCCTCGCACGCGTGCACTTTCCGCTGTTTGTGCCGAGGCACGTGTGTATTTCTACTGTGCTCAATACCGTTACAACGAACAGAATACAGGCTTAAAACCATTACGGGAACCACGAGAATCTCAGCATCACGTATCTTCTCAACCAATGGGTGGAAAAGAGATCATTAAACAACATACCGAAACCTCCCCTCCGGGCCCGCGAGTCCCCTGTAGCCCCCGTGGGCTCCCTCCCGCCACACCGCTCCTGGTGAGGGCACCCCAGCCCCGGATCTGAGCCACAGAGGAACCCCATCCGCTCTTGCAGTGACTGATGCGGGGACGGCCGTGAGGCCCAGTGCCAGGCAGCGGGACACGGCGGGGGTGGGGGTGGGGCTGGTCCTCAGGCACTTCTAGGAAGGTGTCTGCTTCAGAACGAGAGACCTCCCTCCGGGACGCCCTCTGCTCCTCTGCCCTGAGTGACGAACGGTGGCTCAAGGTCGATACATGTGGGGCAAAGGAGGTCACACGGGCAGAGAGGATGGTCGCAGGCATTTCAGCCACCGTTCCTGGGACGCCACTGCGCGTGGGCTCCGTCAAAGCCTGCTCAGTGCGTGACATGTGTTCACTGCACGCACAGCGGTGACACGCGTCGCCCGTCCCCAGGAGCGCCCAGGCCGGAGCCCCCGGGTCAAGGGCAGTGGAGCGCACCAGACTTTCCCCGGCACCCGACGCTGCGGCACGCTCCAAAATGTGGCCACTTCACACATGTCACAGGATTTTGACCCTGGGACAAGAGAAGTATCCTTGGACCCCACGATCCTTCGACTTTTGTGTGGACGCTGCACTGCCCCGCAAAGCTCTGGCTGGAACAAAGGACACTGTCAGTAAGGCCCCCCGACTCCAGGGCCCCGCCTTCTTACCCGGCCCCCAACCCCTGCCCGCGCCGGGGTAAGTAGCTCCTCTAGCAACGCCTCCCCCCGCTGACTGCCATTTCCTCGCTATCGGGACCAGAGAGACACAAAGAATGAAGCCCGAAGTCACGGCATTCTTGAGATAGACTGGGTTTGGGAAAATGGATCTCCTGCTGATCCTTTGTGTGAAGGTTAGTTGAGGGTATTGTCCAGCAAAACCAGAAGGAATCTAAGGAAGAGAAAGACGAGGGTTAAGACAAAGGACTCAGCCTGTTACGCAATGAAAGGAAATGCCTGGACAAGCACCTCGTAGGTGTCCCGGCAAAAAGTTCAGGAAGGGCAGGTCTTCCAAGAACAAAGCACTTGTTCAACACAGAATACGATTAAGGAGCCACAAGATTTTGGTACTGAAGGAGAAATAGGTTTCTTTCCTCAAAAATAAAAAACAAAGCAATTAGTATTTTCAAGTAACAAAAAAACGCAATGCCAGGAAAGTGTGGTGCAGACAGAGGTCACACTAACACGGGGCGTGGGTTTAACGAGGTGCTTCCTCCTCCAGGCAGCAAAGACTTAACGACGGGATTCTAGCTCCTTCTCTGTGGCACCTAGAGGAACTAATTTATTCCAAGTTTTATTGTGAATGCTGTTTCTGGACTTTCAATATTTGAAATCAACCTACAAAAGAATTGTGGAGAACTTAATTATAATTACAGCACAGAATACGAACATCGTAAACCCAACTTACTTTGGATAATGCAGCTCAGGAGGGTTTTGTTCAAGTTGATTCAACAAAACGTGAAAGTTTGAGGATATTGAAGTATTAAGGGAAGAGCAAAAGAACCAAAAATAATAATATACCCAGCAAACTCCGGGGCGGTGAGGAGGGACAGGCGCGGTTGTGACCACGAGGGTGTGTCTGTCACACTCACAGAACCAGAAATCTAGAGCCGCGCCTGGCACGTGGCAGACGCTGGGTAACTATCTGCGAGGGAGGGAGTAGGTTAGTAAGTCACAGGACGGAGCATCAGCTAAGGTCGGGAATCAGCGGCAGGAGGCTCTGGAGCCGTGACCCTGAGGGGCAGCGGGGGGTGGGGGGGGAGGCAGGGAGCTCACCTTCCTTCAAACTAGGCACGTTACTATCTCACAGCAATAGGAACGTGGCCTGGGTTACTGTTGACCGAGAAAGACCACCTTAAAAGATGGAAACAGTCCTTTCGGATGTGGTCAAGTGACAATGACCTGAAGAAGGTCTCAGCTCAGCTAACACCTCAGCCCCCGAGAGGGGCCCTCACGCCCTCTGCGGGTTTCTCCACTGAGGCAGGGGAAGGTGCGCCGGGCCCAGGGCTCGGCAAACGATTCTTGTCCCGTGTCCGTGGCCTCAGCGCCTCATGTGATCATTCTGAATTTCGGTTTCTGATTTGAAAATGAGGGTCAGAGAACCTTTGCTACCAGAACCATGGGGTGGCTCCAAGGATTACACAGGACAGGTGGGGGGGTGTCCCGGAAAAATCGGTTATGGGGTCCCTCCCTACCGCATAAACACACCGAGATCTAAAAGAGCCTTTGAAGGATGCCTGGGGGCTCGTCAGTTGAGCGTCCGACTCCGACCCAGGTCATGATCTCACGGTTCGTGGGTTCGAGCCCCGCATCGGGCTCTGTGCTGACAGCTCAGAGCCTGGAGCTGCTTCTGACTCTGTGTCTCCCTCTCTCTCTGCCCCTCCCCTGCTCATGCTCTGTCTCTCAAAAATAAAGTAAATATTAACAAAGAATTTTCAAGAGATGTTGTCAGCCAACTTGTAATAGGTGTTCAGGTTCCGGAACCAGCAACCAAAGGTGCCAGTTTCTGTGCTGTGAGCATCTGTGAAACTCCGTAATCGAGACACTGGTGCCAGGAAGTGACCCGCCACGAGAGGGCCTCACTGACACACTAGTTTGGGAACCCCCCCGCCGCCCGCCGCCAGTGCACCCCACCCCATGCTGAGGAGGTCTGATATGCCCCGGGGCTCCGCGCAGAAGTGGGTCTGAGACGACAGCCTCCTGAACCACGTGCTCAGTGAGGCTCTCGCAGCTGTTGTGTGTAAGCCTCCGTAACTCAGACCCGCTTCCCCTCAGGCAGGCTGCATCGGTGAGATTTTAATTCTTTTTTAATTTTATTCTTTAAGCTTATTTATTTTTGAGAGAGACAAAGTATGAGTGGGGAAGGGCAGAGAAAGAGGAAGGAAGAGAGAGAATCCCACGCAGGCTCCACACCATCAGTGCAGAGCCCGACATGGGGCTCGAACCCATGACCCGTGAGATCATGACCTGAGCCAAAACCAAGAGTCAGATGCTTAACTGACCGAGCCACCCGGACGCCTCTAATTCTTTTTTTAAGGTTTATTTATTTTGGAGGGGGAGAAGGGGGATAAGAAAGGGGGGTCAGGGAGAGAGAGTGAGGGAGAGCAAGAGAGGGAAAATCCCAA